GAGTTTCACTGACCTTCTAATCTTTAGAGCACACTTTTTGGCTTCTTATTGTACAAATTGATGCAATGGTAGCATGTAAAGCAAAGTATGCAATGCCTTCGATGGTGTACTTCTCATTGCACCTGTTATTGAGAGAGTTGCTAACCTTTGGAGTTTTTCTAACTTCTCTGAGCAACACTCCATTTTTTTTTGGCCACCAGACCAATGCACCATAAGTAACCCTGGGCTTCACAATTGCCGAGTAAATCCAATGAATCATTTTCGGTTTCAGTCCCCATTGTTTACCGAATGTTCTTTTGCATATCCATAGAGCATTACCCGAGTAGCACATTTCCGTCACAATAAGTTGCAGCAACTTGTTTATGACTGATATAAGTTGTATATAAGTTGCCACAACCGATTTGTGACAAGCGTGCTACTAGGGTACTAGCTTTGTTTATTGCCTGATCTAGTTTACTATCAAGGATTACTTCAAGATATTTGACAGCATTAGAAAGTTCCAAAAGTGTGCCTATCAATCTTTTGTTGTCTAATGAAATTTTTTTTCTTTGCGTAAATGGCACAATAATAGTTTTAGAAGGATTTATGTTCAATCCTTCTCTATAACACCATGATGAGAGAAAATTTAAGGCAATTTTCATTATGTTTGCGATAATACAATCGTATTTGCCCCGTATTTTTTTAAGGCTTTATTAAAGAGATTTTTAGCCTTAGGCTAGTTCATCTCTATATTTGCCCCGTACAATTATGAATATATCATCTGCGGAGTGAACTATTTCGAAGCCTTGGGCTATTAAATTTTTTTGAGAAAATCATCAACTATTGAAGACCACAATAGAGGTGATAATACGCCTCCTTGCGGGCATCTTTTGGTTGCTTTTACACTGATGAGTGCGCTTCCAAGGTTTGGTTAGGAACCATACTCCAACCATATAATTGAGAACAAATATAATTTTCATAGTTTTGCATGTTAGATTACATAAAAATTCATAAAGAATTTCTCAAACGGATGAATAAATTCTGGACTTATGCATAACGTTTTTTATTCGCTTGATGACAACATTCATAATGTATAATTATAAAGCTGGGTTTAGACTAGCCAAGTCAAATTATCAACTCAGTTGAATTCAATTGGCTTGAAAAGTTGAGCCTGGTTCAACTTTTTTCAATTCAAGTGAATTGATCAAGCCAGTTGAATGGCATGGTTTACACGTTCAATTCGCGTTTTGAATTCAACTGACTTGATCAATTGACTTGCCCTGTCTAAACCCAGCTTAAGTGTGTGTTTCAATTTGAAACAATCTGAATGCATCATTATAATTTAAGATTTGCATTATTATGATTTCATTACCAAATCCTTAAGAAATGCCTACGAAATAATCTGCCCAAGAAAATATATTTCATAATGTATTGTATTGAACAACATGAGAATTGCTTGTGGCTGAAGTTCAAAAGGTTTTTTCATTCATTTATTATGTGCTGTTACCTGCGTGTACACTGAGGCAAAACAATCTTAAGAATTCCAAAGGGCATGACTTATGAACCTGGACCATTTTGATTTCGTAAGATACTTATGAATTCCATAGGCATGAGTTATGCATTTCATAAGCACGACTGATTATCATAATACATGAGGTACTACGAGTGGTTTTAGACACCTTTAACCTATTCTTTTTCATGGACACTCAGGATTCGATTCCGGTCTGCTACATTTTATATTACTTTTTTCAAGTTTCATAAGCTAACTTATACATTCTATTCCATAAACCAAACTTATGATGTCCATAAGAAATCCTTTTGTCGAAATTTCATAAGTGTTTCTTATGGAATTCTAACGTTTCATTGCCTCAGTGTACACTTCCGTTTCACCAAACTATAGCACAGAAATTTTATGCTTGCCGAATGGCTCATGCACTAAACCGTCAAGGAAGAAGTCCAGCACTCGTGGTCCCACCAGTCTGTCTGGAAAGGAAACCATTTCTCGTGTCGCCGATGGAATGAAGATCAGGATTATCATGAGGAGGCTTAGCCGTACACCACTATGTTGAACGTCGCCAAAAAGTGCTAGCCGCTGGGAATCAAGACACAACAAGACTCCAAAACTAAGTGGCACGCTATTCAATCAAGATTGGCTGCATTGAAGGCGTTACCCCTAACCTATCGAAATCAACCCACCGGAAAGGAGGTAGCCGTGGTCGTCGTCTGTAAGGCATTCCGTTTTAACTTTTTGCTTAATTCATGTCATGTGCCCTGCATCTTCTGGATTTGTTCTACATCATATAAAAAAACTTTCCTTGATCAACCTACGGCAATATTTTACCTTTTGGAGTGGAATTATCTTTATTGGTATATGGTGAGTTGAATTTATTTCAAAATTATCGTGATTTCATTGCAATGTACCAGTTGTCTGTTGAAAAAATCACTACGACCAAGAACTGGAGCACCCATACGGCCAATAAAGATACAACTGATGCCTAAACTGGTGCTGGAGCTAGAGGTTTAATATCAATTAATTTGATTCTTGGGATGCAAAATCAATAGATTTAACATCGTTTTATTTTTCAAAATTATTTTAAGTTCATTCGACACTTCATTCGTATTACCGAGGATAATTTTTAAATTGATCTTCTGGTAACCATATGAGCATCGGGAAGCCGTGTTTCTGGTTGTTGTTTTGTTTTGAGTCTGCATTCCGTTGGACAATGTTCCAATTCAGTTTACTCCATTCAATGAGATAAAATGAGCCATTTTTAGTTTGCGCGGCAAGTAGATTGGCGGGGTTCATATTCACGCAGGCAAAACGTAAGAATTTCATAAGAAACACGTTGCAAATAATAAATCGGAGCAGACTTAAACCGAACCACGAAAGTTGAGATTACGGGGCCCGTGTGTTGACCACTCGTCTTTCAATGCTTGGGAAAATGAAATGGTTAATGGCGTTTAAGAGCTACCGCATGTTACTCCAAAATCATTCATAAGTCACACTTATGAAATTCATATATGTTGTTCATAAGTCGAGCCTTATGAAATTCTTAAGTCTATTTGCCTCACTGTTAAAAAGTGGTGTTCAGATTAAGAATGATCAGATTGCCGGGCGCCCACGGTAATGGTATTATTTACAACACCACATGGGGGTATCTATTTTAGTAAATGTGTCACCTACCCGATTTATTGTCAGACTGTATTTCTTGATTTCAGCGAAGCGCCTTAAAACGAATTGAGGCAAGTATTTACAGCATTTAAACCAGCGGATAAATCCAAATAATTCCACGGAATGTTTCACTTGATTGATTTCATTACCTCAAGCACTAAAGTGCCAACAACAGAAAATCTAAACTTCAGTGCACTGACGCAGTCACAACGCCCATGTCACTTGCCGCATAATCCAGTTGATTGATCAAAGCGACAGCATCACTTTCGAGTGCAATTATGTTAATCAATTTATTTATTTTGCTTTTTCTTTGCTGCCACTTGCACATTAGCACTCATCAGTCAAGCACCCTTGATGAACTATAATTATACCGCAGAAAGAGAATTTGTATACGATTAGCTTCCGAATATTTTCACATTTTCATTCCCATAAAAGCTGACAAAAATCGATAGTCTTGCTAAAACGGCCATGCATTAGCGGAGGAAAGCTTCGCGTTGAAGTTTCACTCATACACATGCCCTGGCATCTGCAGTTGCCTACAGTTAAATTAATTTACCCCAAGGCCATGATACTCCATTTTTCGCATCAATTACTTTAATTAAGTTATAATCCCTGCATTAAAAATTTACCAACAACCATGCGTCTCCGCTCAATTAGTTACAATGTGTTACGACGAGCTGCAACGTGCAGAGCAGAGCACAGCAATTCCATTTCCGCATGATGGTTGGCATCAGTTGGGTAGTAGGGGAAAATAGCCCAAAATGCACCGCAGGGCAAAACACCCGATGTGATTTTTCATAGCATTCTCGTTATTAATTCATAAATTTGACAAGCCTGCTAGTTTAATACTTAAACTAGCATTTCGGCACAAAAAAATCCCAGAATTAAGAGTGGAAATGCTGTGAAAAATCAAATCGGGCGTTTTGCCCGGGTTGCATGTGTCCCCTGTTCTATGTAGGTAACTATTAGACTGATGCAAAATTTGAAATTTTCGCTCCACAGTGCTCAAACAGTTTCAAATCAGGTCCTGCTAAGCCTCCCAAAGTTTAAACTGATTTGGTAAAAACTGACTTGGCACAAACTATTCGAAGTTTGTATGGAAATTACTATGCGAATACCAAACTTTTTGTTCATTGTTTTCTACCCATTTTCCATATTGCTTTTTTGAAAGTTTCTATAACTATTCTTACGGGAAATTTTCTAAGCTACAACTTTGCGGAATACTGTTTTTTAGCCAAATGTCAAATCAAATTTTTATTAATTGTTTAAGAGATTGATAATCTTATGGCATGATCAAGCAGCTGTTCCGTGGGCAACACTGTATTCTGCAGTGTGACATAGTAGCCATGATATTTGTGCTCTTTTGTTCGCACCAGAAACACCAAAGTTGCCTGCTGAACAGTTGAATGAGCATAATCATAAGACATCAGTGACTTGAATCATTAATAACTTTTGTTCCTTACATTTGATTGAAAAATGTTTTTCAACAAAGTTGTAGCTGAGAAAATTTACTACAATCACTGCTGTTATTTTTAAAAGCATAGTGATGTGGTGAATTGTTAGATATATATGAACAAATACATAAGTTTTCCCATAGTAATTCCCATATAAACTTGAAATGGTTTGTGCCAAGTCAGTTTCTTACTAAAGTAGTTCAAATTTTGGGAGGCTGAGCAGGATCCAATTTGGAACCGTTTAAGCACTGTGGAGCGAAAATTTCAAATTTTGCATCAGTCTAGTAACTATGCATGCTCGTGGGTACAGCAAAATCGAAAGGAAAACAACACCCCCGTCCCACCGATATTCACCCGCCACCAACCCACGTGTTACATTCTGGCACTATACTCACCATGCTCGCCTTCCTCGTCCGAATCCAAACAAATCACATCGCTTTCCATTATTTCCAGGCTGTTACATTCGCTCGCTTACCCCGACGTCGCACTACGGATAAACACTCTCGCACACTACCAGAAGCCGTCTCGTTTGCTACGTTTTAGCTATATGACTAAGCTGCGCACTATCGCCTGCACAGGAATGGAACTCCGCTGGCTGGAATTGGCAAAGGTGCGATAATCCTGTTTTGCCCACAGTTATCCTTTGCTCAACGATGTTGAAAGCATCACTTCAACAACTTGCCCACCTGCTCACGGATTGATACGTGGTGAATATGTTTTTATGCTGCAAGTGATTAGGTCAGACAGTCGGAAAAAAATTGGCTGGTATCGGATGCATGGTACGCCTTTTTCACATCATCATCGTCACCATCACCAGCATCGTTATCATGATCACACCTGTCTCATCCAGAAAATGAATCATTGGCATTGGTGTAGTAGAAAGGTACTATGCAGTCACAATCAGTCGGCAGTCAGTCGATTTATGGTGGGTTCAAAGACCACTCGGAAAGGTAACCTTTTTTCCACTAACGTAAATCACCTCACATGGTTTAACAATCAGCAATTTACACAAGATAAATAAAATCGAAAGTAATGAATTGGAAAACCTGAAAGTTTCTGATTGATTGATTCTGCAATTGCATCAGTAGCAACTGCACCACTCTCGTTGACTAGGTCCGAAACTATTATTGAGTTGCGATGGAGGCACATTCTTTTGCATGATCCTTCTTGTGATAGAAGACAAATGTAAAATCGTAGGAATGCCAAACTAAGTACATTCACAGCAATAGAAGGAATGCATCGGCATTTTGTCCAAACCCAATGCCACAAGCATTTCCCATATTGTGAGCTTGACAATAGGCATAAAGATATCGAGCAAGGCGTTCCATCCAGCCATGGAAAATGGAAACGTAGGAGAGAGCTTGGTCGGAACTATGAGCATCTGTATCTACATTTTTCATATTAGGAACATACACAACTTTCTCCGTTACTGTGGGTGGTGCCGTGTCACAAGGACTCAAGAGTTTCAAGGACCAAGTTTCCAGTTCCAGTAGCCAGCGTGGACTTCAAATTGCCAACCATGCCAGTTTGGAAATTTCCAAAGACTCTTGAAACATGTAAATGTAGGGCAGATAATATTCTTAAATTATAGGGTAGTAGTGTAAAAAACGCCCCCTTACATTTATATGAATATAACGCTTATTTAAATGCAACAATGAATGGCAACCAAAACAATTAGTGAGAGCACTCTACTGTGCAAGTTTGACAGCTGGCAAGTGTCTAGAATCTGGATTTTCTGTGGAAGGTTATCAATGATTCCCATGGTAGCGGTCATTTGCCAATCATCATTTCAATTAACGGTTTCGAATCAACAGATACGCTTCCACCATTGGAAGAATATCGATTCCTTGCCGATTTGATATACAAAAGTTCACTGGAAGCACAAAAAAGAAAGTTCCAAGTGCACCCTTCTAAAGGAGACCAGCCACTGGATGGGACGAAGGATGCACAAAATTGTATGTAGAAAAATTTGATGCTTTCAGAGGGACTCTCACGAGAAACCTCAATAGGCCCCTTTGAGGGTGGCTCGCAACATGCGTAACCGCTCATCTTCTAATAAGAGTGAAGAATACTCCAACCGATGTTTGTCTAAAAAATGTCTGTCCGGACTCAGTTCCAGCACAACATATTCTTCGAGAAGCGTCTCTAAGCGGCGGCTCTCTGGATAGACCATTCACAATGCTGGAATTCTCTATGGCTCTTCCTTCATGGAAAAACTCCTCCCATGTATCGCAAAACGAGGCTAGACTTATTCAATTCCTTAATAGAAAACAACACTATACCGCCTAAATGGAGACAGGTCAAAGTAATAATTATTAAAAAAAAAACCTGGCAAACCAGCGTCTGACCATAATTCATACCGCCCAATTGCTATTCTTTCGTGCATTAGGAAATTGTTTGAGAAAATGATCCTTAGGAGACTCGATCAGTGTGTCATATAACTTGCTATCAAATACACAATTTGGATTCCGGATTCCAAAGGAACAAACGATTGTCTAGCGCCTTTGCGCACAAGGAGCAATTGGCTTTGAAGTATTCTTGGACATTAAAGGGGCTTCTGTCAGACAACCAGAAAGCACGTATATTCAAAGTTGTTTTCGTGATATACAAACATATATACAAACAAACAATTCGTATAGAACGCAAAGAAATGGCTTATACGTACAAAAATGGAGGCCATATACGTGCATATTTTAATTTAACTTTAAACGAGTTGATACGATTTAATCTATAATAACAAATTCATTTTGAAAAGTCTTACGATGTAATCCTATTTAATTTGTGATACAGTACGACGGAAAAATGAGTCATCGCATATAGGTCAGAAATTTGCATTCTATACGATTTCACTTAAACATAATGCGAGGTATGCCATTCATGTATGCGATTTTGACTTAAACGGTAGCAATTTACGATACTGTCTGTACATTTTTATACGACTTCTGGTTGTCTACCCAACAAACAATTTTAGCTGCAGATCAGCTTATACAGACAAAAATTAGCTGTATAAGGCAATTTTCGGCTGTATAAGCTAGTCTGCAGCTAAAATTGTTAGTTGGGTAATTCTGTTAGAAAATCTGCACAGATGTGGTCTTTCTGGAATTTTAAATAATTTCTTGTATAATTTGTTGCCAGAAAAGCAAATGAACTTTTCCCCTGGACAACTGACTACTTCCAAAATAAGCTACATGGGCCTGCCCCAAGGCTCATGCCTCAGTCCTCTTCTTTATAACTTTTATGTCAAAGTCGACAACCGTTTGCGTTGCGGACTCCGTTTGCGTTGCGTTGACGTAAATTTGACAGTTAGACAATAGATTTAGCTGTCACTTTGCCGCAACGCGTCAGATCCGGATCTAATGTGCGTGGGCCTTACCAGTTCAGTTTTCTGCGGTGAAAATTCGATCCCTAAATTCCTAGCTCAAGAAGACAAGTTAGCTAAGGAATTTTGCAATGGTCCTTGCAAGTCCACGGCATGTGGACCTCTTATGAAAACCACACCGTCATCTGCAAGTTGTCTTAGCGTGCATTGTTCTGCCAAACAGTTGTCGACTTTGACATAAAAGTTATAAAGAAGAGGACTCCGCTAATGAGGGTGGCCCTGTAGTGTTTACTCGAAAGCGGTACCCAGCCCAAATGCAGCTTAATCTTTTGGGCAGAAACATTACGCAATCATTGTCTTTCAAGTACCTTGGGGTCTGGTTTGAGTCAAAGTGCACTTGGAATACTCACATTACCTATTTGAAACAAAAATGTCAGCAGAGGATCAACTTTCTCCGTTCAATTTGCGGCACATGGTGGGGTGCTCATCCGGGAGACTTCATAACGCTTTAAAAAACAACAGTTCTCTCTGTTCTAGAGTACGGCTCTTTCAACTTTCTCTCGGCAAGAAAAAGTCACCTAATAAAATTGGAACGAATGAGTCTCGAGGTTCTGGCAGGAGTAAGACCACCGACGAACCGACGTGATAGCTCATATAAGCCACATTGAAATTCTTGCCCAAGGCGCCATATTTAATATACGTTATACACTACCGCCATCTACTCATCCGGTCGCGTCATATCGTGAGCAAGGACACGAACACACAATAAATTTATATTGACTTGGTTTGCGTCTCACCTCGTTTGACAGATCTGATCGCCCGTTTGATTTGATAGATCGAATCACTCATTTCTCGCGTCACTTTTCAAAAAGACCAATGTAACAAATGTAAATAAATCGAGTTAAGCGATACCAACTATTGCTCTTCTATCAGTGTATGTGATACAAAAACATCCATCCAAATTTACTTTCATTTATTTAAGATAATCATAGGTCAAAAATTGTCCAATGTACAATTTGAAATGATGGGTACATGTTTGTTACTTCGGTCATTCGGACTGCCTAATTGACATGATTGGTGATCATTTTCTAAAGGCAGGGCCAATCTAAAGTTAGGTACTCTACTCTGAAATCTGTGAAAGGGAATCTAGTATCATGTAGAACAAAACGTCCAATGTAACACTCATTGATTATGCCATTGAGAAAAATCGTTCAATGTAACATGTCCGATGTACAACTTGACTAGTCAAAACGTCCTATGTGTTTTTTTTTCTAATTGTAGCATGAAATTCAAAGTAAAATTGTGATTTTACCGTTTCTACTGAATTTTCAACGTTATTATTCACTGACTACATTAAAAATAGTATTGCAAAATGTATTGTTTTTAAACAGTTACAATAATAATCTGTCGAACTTCAACTTCGATTTTCTCAAAATGGTGGATATATAGAATGAAGAGACCAATGTATATTTGAAAAGTGACGAGAGATTTGACAAATCGAATTGCGGACAAACGAAATGCTCTAGTGGCATGTCGGTTCGTCGGTGGTAACACCTCTCCAGAAACGTTTCTGGGAGCTCTCTCTCTCAGAATACTAATCAAATGCGGAGTGACAAACACACTTCAAATTGCAAATTTTGAAGAAATTCTTGGTCTGAACATACAATCTCGATTTATGAGAATCTACCATTACTACATACGTATCGTCGGATATGTGTCTTCCTTGTCATACTCCAGACCGTGCTCACTTCACCATTAGCAGTTCATCAATTGAATATGATCTGACCATGGAAACTACAGATCAACTTCGACCTATCACACATAGTTTACAGCATATTTGATCTTTGTACGCTGATGTTCATTTCCCATGTAAAATCATGCGAAGAATCCAAAAATGTAGTTAAAAAAATCACAGTAGGATAATTTTCAAGATATAGCTAAAAAAAAACTTAAAAAAAATGTGTTTACTAAAATACAAATATCTCCGATTGTAATGAAGTTATAATAATTATTTTGACGTCAAACTAAAGGTGATGAAATTTTCTTTCGATTATTTGAACACCATTTTTAGATTCGATGAGATTAGTGGTACAACCACTACAAACATTTTTATTTACACTGCTTAAAAACTTAGCAGAAATTCATTTTGTTTCTGGGAAAAATGGGCAATATAAAAAATTTAATAAACAAACTATTAATTATCAAAAATACCACTAATCTTACTGACAATTGATATGAAATTGATCGAAAGAAAATTTTCTTACCTTTAATTTGACGTTAGAATAATTTGATATAGTTTCATAACAACCGGAGATATTTGTATTTTTGTAAACAAACTTTTTTAAAGTAAATTTTCATTTTTTTTTTTAGCTGTATCTCGAAAACTATCCTACTGAGATTGTGTTTGACTACATTTTTGGATTCAGCGCACGATTTTACATAACAATCATTGGTTAATGATTCAAGTTCCTCTTGTTTTAATTCTATTTGTAAACTAGCGTTATTATCCCGCGTATTTTTACTGAAAAGTACCAACACGTCAATTGCGTGAACAGATATTTTACAGACGGGTCCCGTCTCAATGGAAACACTGCCTTCAGTGTCTTTAATGAAAAGTCTGGTGCCTTCCGCAAACTTCAGGAACCTTGTTCCGTTTTTGTTGCTGAGCTCGCGACTCTCCATTTGCATGGGTT